TTCAAATCCAATCCGTTCGTGAAATGTTCATGTTGGTGCGTGTATTTAAAGGCGTGTAACATTAACACAATTCCGATAACTTGTAGGTAATTGTTCACTCATTTTTTCTGATAATATGGTTGAATGAAGTTGCATATTAAAAGTAAAGCTGTCGGTTTTTAGAAAGTAGTGGCTGATTCAATTTTGGCACAAAACTCTGTAGAATTTACATTGTGTAACGTTTTGTGATTAATTTCCCCCTTTAATACAATGATTAGGCCTGTGACAGTTCTTCGTTGACCTCACGTATGTCCCGGGTCGATCCTAAAAAAATGTAAAGGGCGACTTGAGTTGAATGGAGGGGTGGAAAGTATGCCTATAATACACGCAACATCGTAGTGAGAACACACTCGAGCAGTGTTGCCAACGAAAAGTCCCTAGAAATCCCTAGATGTGCTACAAATGGCACGTGAATTACAATAGTGGCAATTAAGCAAAAAATCAAGTTTGTAGTAAAATTGCCAAAATTCACATACAAAACAGTAGGCTATTCTATAAACTTTCCAAAAAATGTTAGTAGGCTGCAATGGGGGGGATTATATTTGTTTATTAAAATAAATATCATAATAATGTACAGTATATGTTTTGAAATACAAATGAATGTGCCATCCATATATAAATCCCAAAGTACCCATGAATTTTTGTGAAAACCAAAAGTCACACCCCTATAAACCATATAAAATGTTCCTCGTCATGACTGCAAGTTAAATTGTACGTCACTTTGACAACTCATTTCATCAAGGATCCACGACGAGAGAAACAAAGTACACAATATTGTTTATTTTGTGAATAGATATTTTGATCAGCCACCTGTAGTAAGAAGAAAATTTACCATTTTTGTATGCATTCATCCATATATAAATCCCAAAGTAGGTACCCATAAACTTTTGAGAAAACTACAAGTCACACCCCCATAATCCTTTTACTTAAAATGTTCCTCATGACGAGAAACCTTGCGCAAAACTATCCATTATTTCATAAATTGGCCTTTAAGGTCGTAATTCATTTCTAAAGGGAACTTTCCATAGCCTATACCTAATGTTAAAAATACTACAGCTGTACTTATTTGTTTGTTACATATTCGTTCAATTTATAACCTTATTAAAATCTGGTGTGATTTTGTTTTGTTTTCTGTTTTGTTCATTTCAGCTTAAATTAACCAATCAATAGTTTTATCAAAGACTAGCTGAGTACCCGTCCTTCGTACGGGGTTGGTATACAATGCTTATTGTAGCTAAATACCCGTGCTTTGCATTTGCAATGAGAAAGGGCACGTTTTGAGAACATTTGGTTTACTATAATCTACGGTATACTATAGTATATAGAACATCTACCATAGCCATAATGTTCTACCACTTCACCTAAACAATAGAAAGAAGTAAAGTTCTCACACTCAGGGTTTTGTTGCTCCTTGGTTCAAATTAGCTGTTGTCATAAATGTATACAGAACTAATGGTGCTGCACCCTGTTGGTAAACCGTATAACCTTTTAATGCTATTGAATATCATAGAAACAAATTGTGTGGTTTGAAACAGCTGGCAAAATTATTTAATTCATTTTGAATATGAATACGCATAAGGTTAACATGGGAAACTCTAGAGCCGCTGGGGCGGAGCCCGAAAGGATTTTTGAGGTAATAATATGTCCATATGTTAATCGGGAATGTGAGCTATCATCATACCAAATTTCAACACAATCCGACCAGTAGTTAATGTGTGATTGAACTTCAAACAAACAAACAAACAAATAAACAAACAAACACACAAACTTTCACATTTATATTATTAGTATGATTACATATGCTAACGCAATTTGCGTTAGCATATGTAATCTTTGGTTTTATTAATACTTATGAAGTCAAACGGGGCGAAGCCCGTGGGTAACAGCTAGTTTATATTTTGTTTTAAAGTTCGTCTTAACTATAGGCCTAATTTTATTTCGCCCTAACTTAAAAAAAAATTATTTCTATAAAATATCTGTATGCCCATTAATTTATTTTCCCCAAGGAATCGTCTAAAATCTTTTGTCTCCAGAAATCCTCAGAAAGTATTTTGTCCCTAGAACGTCAGTACTCAGGTTGAAAATGTGTCCAGATTCGGGATAAATCCCTAGAAGAGGCAACACTGGGGGTGTGAGAGTGTGAGTGGGGGGTAAGAGCCCCCTCCCCCCCAGGGCAAGCTGAAGAGCCAGGGAGCGTCAAGGGGGCTTCAGATTGAACATATCGAAGGGGGCGACTCTGAAGGCTCTGAATTGACTGTTAATGAATTCACCCGCGGTGAAAACCCAAGCCATGTTTCATGTTTGCTAGTTTCGCAAGGCGGGTGCAATCTAGATTTTTTTAAATTTGAGATTTGTAAAAAGTAAGCCCTGAACTGTGGTATGCTACATAACATTTACTTAGACCTTGAACTTAATAGAATGCACTTGTTCATTATTAACAGTTACTTTGAAATATACTTATGGATAAATAGTTATGTAGCCTACGTTTTTATTTCATGGTGAATCAAATCCGCCCTTGAAGAAGGTGGATTTATAAGAAAGTGTGGCATTATAAAGGTGTTGTCCTAGACTTGTTAGTTAAACGTGCATATTAAATCACTTGCAAACATTTTATTCAATAGAAGCATGGTCCGAGAGAACTGCCTCACATTGATGTCAAATCCATCTTGGGACTAAAAACCATACTAAAATTGTTAAAACACAAAATTCAAACGTAATTAGCACCATAAACATGTTTTAAATTCTGAAAAGGGTGTTTAAAGTTGTTGCTTTTTGGATTTCCGTATTTCCTTTTTTCCAGATGACAAAATGCATGCAGTCATTCTTGATTAACTTATGTTCTGTATTTTTGTTATTGATGATAAGTTGGTCAGTTTGTATAATTCTGATCCGTTGTGTATTACTATATCACTAAAAAAAGAAAATAACACAAACAGATTCAAAAGCTTAATGGCAAAAGACTCATTGAAATGCAACCCATTTTATTCCTTCAAATAATAATTAGAAGTAATCTCTTAATGTTAATTTGAATTCCAAGTACCTAGTCTTACAATTTGAATAATTTGTTGTGAATGATTATAATTATTTAGTTTATAATTTTTATTTAGGTTAGTTTAACGGTACTATTCAAGACTAAGACATATTGTCACTGAATAATAAAGAATATTTGATTGGTGATGATTTGATGTAGACCTCGTTCCGGTACAGCGGTCTCTTAATTTTTTATTTTCAAGTAAGATTTCCGCAAACATTAAAACTTCTCAGGTATTCTACCCCACCACTCACCACCAAATAAACTACTACTGTTGAAATCAACACAACAATACCGCGTCATATGTAGTTACAGACACAATAACACGGTGACTGTCTGGCCAGTAGCCAAGGTGGCTCGTCTCGTGGTTTGGCTTTAGTTACTTTGTGGTTACTACGACCTTGGGAACTAAACACGAACCGTAGACGTAAATGTCTTTCTGTGTACAGATTGTCTACCAGTCCATGTATAAATGTTCCATCCAGGCACAATTTTGCTAATAACACATTTAAATGTCTTCGTCTAGAAACAACGGTGGTTTGATTCGTGAGGCGATTTGGAGAATTTCCCCGAGTGAAATTACATAAATTCTATAAGCCTAAATACAAATATACTACAGTCTAAGCGTTCTAAGTCTATCCAGTGGATGTAGGCTTAGGTCGATTCTTTATCGGTCGATTCTGTGTAAGGACCCAAATACCATTGCGATAGATATTAGGCATTTTTTATTTCTAAATAAAAACATGTTTATACTTCTCAGTCGTAATACACATGCAATAACACTATCTATGTCAAAGAATTTAAATACATAAAAAGTTTTCTCTCGGTTATACATTCAGTTAGTTATGTTAGGGTTACAATGAGCACACCTGTCTCTGATAGCTGTTGTAAAGTGTTACATCGATCTGCCATTGAGTCTAGCTAGGCTCTTGTGGGTGGCAACTAAGACGGAACTGAAAGCTCGCACGTGTGACATGCGGCTAACGAAGCACACTATGTGCTATTTGTGTCAAGGCTGTAGGCACAACCACCTGGCCATTATGTACACTTAGTCTGCTGCTTAATATATTGTGGAAAACACTAGTATTCTACTAACTCGAAACACGTGTAACGTAATACTACTTTTGAACAAGTGGTTGATGTTTAGTGCGTTCACAGATGAGACGTGGTTTGGTTTTCGTGGTGAGTTCCACAACGTTCTGCAAATCAGAATCGTCAAAATTTCCTCTTCCTTGCATGATGCAGCGTCTGTGGTTTTACCAGTCAATGACATAATATGATACGCAAAGAGAAACGGAGAACCGGCCACTCTGGTCCTAATCTGCATATAGGAGTTTGGTTAGGTTAAATATTATCATTTTCTATTCATGGTAATACTCTCTAGAAATCATGTCTAGTGCATTTTGATAGTCTTTGAGCGCTGGAAAGATATTTTTCATTCCACTATAGCTATACAAAGGGCATTTACGTGAGAGATGTGTTGTCATTAACTCCTTCAGGCTAGGGCAGTTCACGTTTAGCGTAGAAAACAGTTCAGTTGATTGTAAGAACCGTGATTGTTATAAAATTATACACCACTGCAAGAGTATTGAGATCATGCAATGACCGAACAGAGATCTACTATCTCCAGATCGGCTGTGACTTACATCCCCGAATCCCTATGTATTTATGGATTGGCTGGATGCCAATATTGAATCTTTAATTTAGGTACGAGAAGATGTTTGATCTTGATTGATTGACAGCGAAGTCGTGATACTAGTGCGTTAGGCACACAGTGAACACCAAGTTCTGATTTAAAATAGCATTATATCCGTTGTTTTGTTCGGAGATGTATGACATCGTTGGATTTAACACCGATGGTGATGGTTTGATTTGATATAACCGAAGAGAATGTATGGAAGCCTACAACGAGCCCGTTTGGTTTCAGGTAATGGCGAGCGAGCTTTGTTCCAGTTTGAGACTGAAAGACAAGGATTTGTCCGGCAAGTTACTGCAAGTTGTAGAAGAACACGGTGCAAGTTCTACATTCGTGATCGCAAGTTTAATGTGGAACGCGACAAGAACAAGCACCTCAATTTGTCTAGTCGCGCTGCAAAATTCATCCACGCATTATCAGAATGTAGCCAAGAAGTTGGGATTTAATTTAACCGCTGTGGATAACAAGACAGTCGTTTTAGACCCTGTTTGGGAAAAGTCTTTAACGGAACCAACAAATTTAGAGTTGAGTCGTCTCGATGGAACTTTGTACGAAGACGTGAAGACCGCTTTGGCTTCGATGTCTGGAAAGAAATGCCTCATTGTTGACGATCTGAGTGTTTTGATAACTGCTGGAGTGGATTTGGCGGGAGTTGTCAGTCTCTTGCAGTGCCTCAGACAGCTGATGGAGGACGATAAAGACTTGTCTTTGCTAGTTTGCTCACATGTGTCGGAGAACTGCGAAGACCACAGACTCTTGGCTGACTTCACTTCCCACGTCGCCGACCTCCGCGTCACCGTGGCGCCTCTCAGGACAGGGTTCTCGACCAACGTGACAGGCTCATTGGAAGTGGTGGATAATCTAGAACCTATCTTCGGGTCTGCCAGCGATAAGAAAGTGTTTCACTTCAAACTCACTGATAGACAGATCAAAGTGTTCGCGCCTGGAACTGTTGGGGTGTTCGGGAGATAGTTGGATTAAACTCTCAAATCAAAATCGTTGTTGTTCCTTCACTTCATGAATTCTTTGTTGTAATTACGCCATCAACTCAGCGAGTTTGAATATGAGAGTTCAAAACTCCATGTTACTTTTGTAATGTACGCTTATCTAACTTTTTTGCTCTTGTGAATATTCGTGAAGTGTATTCTGTGGTAAGGCGTGGTTAAAATAAAATGTCTAAAGCATGAAAATTTGTTCAATAATTTTCCTTTGCAGTTATATCCGAGAAATTTACAGTTTAGACCAATTTGTTAGCTGTCATATCACTTAGCTGGGTCATATCATATAGAGGACTATGTAGCTTGTTGATGGTTCGAAACAAGGCCCAGATGTCTTGACAAATGAAATAGCAGATCTTATTCAGTAACAATGCTACAATGATTATTTCATTTAATCATAATCTTGCATTCATATTCAGTTTAAAATACGCACCTTAGTATGTGTCGATTTCTCAAAGAATTGATGATTGATTAAATCTAAAGATATAAATCAGATATCCAATCGATCAAAATGTGGTATAACACATTTCTTGGTGTAGACCTAGGTATAAACATATAAAAATATTATATTTATCAATTCTGATTTGTTTTACACGAACAGCAACTACACGCTGGTTGTTTGGGCAATAATTTGCTTCACAGACTTAACTTAATGATTTTGTCTCAGACTACAACTGTGTGGAAACTAGAGTGTACAAGTACTTCCTTGGAAGAGTTTATAAGTGAGTTGCCTTTGCACGCAATCTTAACGACCGAGCGTGCGAGGTGAAACTTGAAACCTGCAGTGCTGTTGTTTGTGGCACTTCAGACATTTACCTGCAAATAATGTATTATAATTGTTTATTTTAAACCTTCGGGCTTTGTTTCCAACTCAAAATTCGTCTTGTATGTCACGAAATTAACTATAAAGACGAAAATGTTGTTCTCTTAGTTTTTATAACACTATGATTTTGTTATCTACCTAGTTGTACATGCCTAAACTTATACAAGCTTGTTAAAAGTGTTATTTAGCATTGCCATGCCATTGTAGCTTAATCAAGTTAACTATTTGAATTAACAGTACTTCGGAATTTAAATCAACTACTTAAATTTAGAAATTGCTACGTGTACAGCGTAGTTATAATATGTATGACTTTGTGTCAATTTACTATTTTAATGTTTCAGTTTACAATCACTGCGAACAATATCTTTTCCTATCGATTCAAATAAGGAAGAATAATTATAGGTGTTATTATCGACCGATATTACTTTATGACAACTTCATTTTTCTTCAACAAGAACTAGAAGTGTTTACAAACATGTGTGTAATGTGACACCCCAAAACATAAATTGCAACATTTGCAGTCCTTAGTTAAACATCGTTAAAATTAAACAATATGGCTACCCATGTCAATGTTCGGCATGTTGTCAATTAATTATGTATAGTTCTAGTTAGTTAGTCAGAATCTGCTCCACAAAGCTACTCAAGGCATATAAAATCTATATTTAGAAGTGTTCAAGGAACTAAACGCCGAACCGTAGTTTTAGAATCAGATTCTGGTCCCATTGAGATAAGGCCAGATTACCCGCACACTTCTGTCATTCTTGTGATTAAAGATGTCTTGGTGTTATCAGACACGTTATCGCCCTCTACACATTGTTAGTATAACTCTCACTATCACAGTGACAACATAAGTACAACTACTGAGCTTTGGCTGCAACTCACTTAAAACTCACTCACTTGTTCACTTAGCCCATATTTCAAATTTATTTTTTTCTTGAGTAGGAAATACGTGGCTATGTAGACTTTATGAAGGTCCTCGACTGGTTGGGTAGTGTTGGGTTGGCGAGTATTAATTTACTCGCCTTACAATCGAAAGCTTGTCGTTCGAAACTGGATCCAGCTGTTTCTGAACAGTGTGATTTTAGCTAAAGAATCAGCTGATCTTGGTCAGTATCAAAACTACACAGATCAACCTAAAATCAGGTACAAGTAGTTCGGTTGTCTACTTGCAGAATCCAAGTAAATAGTTCATCTGGATCGCATAAATTGCAGTATCCAGAGTCAATGATGTACCTGTTTCTTGGAAATGGGATATCTACTTCTAGTATCTAAAGTCAATGCTGCATCTGGGTCACGTCAATGCAATGTCTAATTGCTGTATCCAAGGTTAATGATATATTTGATTCACATAAATGGAATCCCTATTTACAGTATTGTATCAAGTAAATTGGTACGTCTGGTTCAAGTAAATGGAATGTCTACTTGCGGTATCCAAAGTCAATTGTTCATAATCATAATTGGTTATTAGTTTTGTAGCAAATAATGCTCAACGGTATCAATCCGGTTGATCTTACCTTTTGTTCTCTATTTTGTTTTGTAATGTGCTAGTTTGGATTTTTTATTGATAACACATATGTTACGACTTTTGCTTGTCTTTTTATTGTTATGTTGCAAATACTGTCATGGCAAACAAATAAACCATAAGGCCCATGTTAAATTTCTTAAAAGCTTAAATTCGTGTAAGGAAGTTGTCAGAATTGTGCCATTTTCAAATCTAAACCTTCCCATAGTTGCTTAGTGTGTATATATGTGCTGATCGCTTCAGCCGTTCAGGAGGAGTATTAGTAAAACAAAAGACGGAGTGTTTCGCTCACTTCGCTCAATAATACATGGACGACTGTAATAACGACACAAGTAAGAGGCGAACGATTAGGACAATAAACGTGACACATACTTTCTCCCGTGAGCGTGTCAACAACCTTTAAGCTGTAAACGGTGGGAGTTGTTATGATATTTTATATGGAAAATCTCAAAAGTTGCAATAACTTTTGAACCGTAATGTTAACAGCCTTCGGTGGTTTAAATCAAATTTTAATCAAACCCGGCTTTTTTCAAAAATCCTAATTTCCTGTATTTTATGGGGGTTTTAATGGGAAAATAAAATAAGTTGCAATAACTTTTGAATTGTAATTTGTACAGTAATATGAGTTATACCATTTTGTTCAGAATTTAAAGGAGGTAACACACAATTTTCTTTTTAAAAATCTTTAGAGCCATTTTAGAGAAATTGTATATTTCCGGTTTTTTTGGGGGGGGATGCTTTCCTTTATAACATCCTCGCATAGGTGAGGTAAAAATGGCTACCAACATAAAAAACCGAAAAGTTATTGAAAAATACCTTTTTTAGACTATAGTTTCGGAATCGTTGGAGATGGGATGAAACTTTAAATGTAGAAAATTTGCTATTAATTTGAGGTTATTCACATGTAAGTTCTTACTTTTTCCTGTATTTTTACAATTAGTAATCTTAACGTAGATTTTAGGAAATTTTTGGAAAGGGGCGTATTTTTATTAATCTGAGATTCAAGTTGTAATCCTTCTCATTTATGTAGGTTGTTGAAATAAAATTAACTGTAAGGCCCTGAATGTTAGACATTTTTTAATATCTTGTTCATGAGCATCAAGATAGAATTATTTTTCTTAAAAATGTTCAGTGAACAAATCTTAGAAATAATCAAAACCTAACATACATTTAAATTTGAACATTTTCCAAAAACTACCCCTTTGATGCATTTGGGAGATTTCAAAATAATTTCCCCAAATTCAACGGGGTAAAAATAGGGAGATTTAAGTTGATCTGTTTTTCGATTGACCTGGTCGTTATACTGTACATTGAGCACACGTGGTCTCCCTCACCTGTATTTATACAATTTAGTAACACACCTTGTTTAAGGAGCTATGTTATTTTGAAAACAAGTTTTTAGATGGGACAACAATATGCAATTGACATTTTATGGTAGAAGCACGCCTATAATGACGCCTGAAAGATTGTTATTTTGTGTTGGTGAAAAGGTGGAATAACAATAATTAAGTACCTGGGACCGAGCTTTGCTCAGGGAAATCCATTTACTATTACATAGGCCTAATAGTAGTAGTCTTTGTTCATTACTATTAATCCCAATGGTTTTCATTAATATATTCTTGATCTTTAAAAAGTGTAGTTTTTGTCAATGATGTATTAAACGTTGTTGTGTGTTTTGATAAGCCAAATTCAGTACAGTAATCATCAAAGCAGATACTTTATTGGTTTACATTTTCGTTGGTTTTTGGAAGTATGATAATCCTTAGGGGGATTTAGATTTTACAAATACTCCATTGATTAACTTTCTTGAAGAATAAGGAGATGCAACCCTGGGAGTATTGGAGCCACCAATCGTCTTTTCGATCTACTCCATTGGAAAAGGATAGTATAATTTTAGTTTGGACTACACGACGTTTGTGGAGGTGAGGGAAATCCTCCCTTTTCAAGTGACCTATCCGTGTGTTCATAACCTATTACCTTAAGGTTATGTAGGCTAATCTATATAAAATATAATATGTGGGCCAAATACATCTAGGTTAGGATGGATAGTTAAATGTAGATTTAGGTCACTGGAAAACGAAAGGAGTTCCCACACCTTTCTAAACGTAGTAAAAAAAAACTTAGCGTAGGAGGAGTCCATCAAACTAATATTGATCCACAGTTCCTTCGCAATTGTAAAATAAAAAAAAACCAGGATGACGGTGTGCTATATTAATGCAAATAAAACATGAAATAATTTAATATGCCACCAGGGAACTGAATGATTGCTCGGTCTTAAAATGGTCTGGAAGCATTATTGAAATAGTCTCTAGGAACTGTATAATCTATAGCCAATACGTAATAGATGATTGCTACCCATGACTAGTGAGCACTGAGCTGGCCTACACCGACAGTTGTTGGTTGCAGTTGGCGTGATTGTAGCCTTACGTGAGTGTTGTTTTTATAAACATCGATACATTAGTGGTGGCTGTCGTTAGCGTAGTGGCCAGACTGCTGTGGACTGAAACCAGGGGGTAAAACACGAAGGAATTGTTTGTTACGGTAGTAGTAATCATTCTACAACGAGAAAACTTGATACTGACGTTTTATCCCATTTCTAAGTCAATTCGTGATCGATTTCGTTAGTTTT